TCCAATGAGTGAATCAATATTAACAGCAGGTAATCAGGAGCCTCCAACATCTGATGACATGTAGTATATAGATTTTTCTTGGGTGATACACACAATTCACCTTAAAGAGTAAACTAAATTTGGGCAGCAACTAAGCATTTAACCAAGGGAACACATTCGGGGATGAAGGTAGCCGTGCTGTAAGAACCTCAACTCCAGTTTCAGTTACCTGCACAATATTATAAAAGCATAATATATTATGAAAACGACAAAATAAGAAAGCTAACATCTAGATATTCCACGAGATTAAAACGAGAGAATCAATCTGGGAGATGTGCAGAGTACAGTTGTGGATAAGTTAAAAGTACACAAGTCATACAATTGCCAAAACTCCCCACTACGCGCACAACCATATGAAGGAATAAGGACATTCCATCGAAGATCACTTTCTAGTTCCAGAACATTTATTCAATGTACTTCAGTTATAAAACAAAGAGCTAGAAATGCAGGTTACCAGAAGAGTGTGCTCAAACTGAGCGCTGCGTTTTCCATCTGCAGTAACAGCAGTCCATCCATCAGGCCACATTCGGTCACGCCAGACTCCTGCCAAAGTTCCACCAACATGTTGTGAGATAAATAAGCTTTGAAGCTGGTAGGCCAAACAATTTAAATAACTGCCACAATTACCTGCATTAATCATTGGTTCAATTGTAAAGGTCTGCCCAGGCTTCATCACGCCAACTGCTTTATTCCCTATTGGGGTTAAGGCTCACCAATTGTTGACTGAATAATACCTTATATACATTTTTCTTTTAGAAGTACTAGGAAGGCATTTTATTAGCTATGCTATTTAACCATATTCCATGATTAGAAAAGAAAGATTGTATCTTCATGTACATATAGTGTTTGGAGGCCTGATATTAAGGATACTTCCATAGTGAGGAATATTTGGTGCACAATGAAACAGTTCTCCAATACCATGGCCACAATAAGATTTTACCTATTTCAACAGAAGAAGAGTATAGAAAAACTGTGTCCTTCAGGTTCATGAAATAGAGTTAGACTATATTAAACAGCGTGAAGTAATAAATTACCACTGAGAACCCTGACATTGTAGCATGACGGTTAATCACCTCTCCGATCTCCCGAAACCGTACTCCAGGTTTCACTGAGCAACACCCAAAAGACAAAATGCAAGAGAAACTCAAATTAAACTTCAGGGTTTTCAGTACTGCATAGGACAGGGGACAGCAACCAACCAAATATCATCTGCTGGTCACCTTAAGTCTAACAATAGAAATCTAAGTGACCTCTTTGATTCTTTGGCCTGTTTTAGTCCTTGTTATGGGGCATGCATTTTGATGTGTTATGTGAGTGTAGATATGCATATATATATATACACAGAAAAAAAGAGATTATCAAGAAGAAAAGATAATGCAAGAAGAGGGTAACACTTCGTCACATATAGAAAAACAATAGT